ATCCGAATGTAATAGTTTGTGAATCTTCAAAGTGCTTTTCCGTTTAAATTTTAATTTGCAAATATCGCATTCAAAAGGGTAATCCGAGTGTGTTCGAATGTGCCTCCGCAAATCAGATTTCTGTTCAAATTTTGCATTGCATATTTTGCATTCAAAATTGTTCCCATCCAAGTGTGTTAATATGTGTTGCTTCAAAGAGTTTTTCCTTTTAAATTTGGCGTTGCATATGTTGCATTTAAAATGCCTCTCATCCGAGTGTATTAATATGTGGCTTCTCAAATGACTTTTTAATTTAAATTTTGCTTCGCAAGTGTCACATTCAAAAGGATAAATATCCGAATGTTTTAGTTTGTGAATCTTTAATTCGCCTTTTCGTTTAAATTTTGCTTTGCAAGTATCACATTCAAAAAGATAAATATTCGAATGTGTAAGTTTGTGGTTCTTCAAATAGGCTTTTTGTTTAAATTTTACGTTGCAAATGTCACATTCAAAAGGATAAATATCTGAATGTATTGAAATGTGCTCTTTCAAAGTACCTCTTTCTTCAAATGTTGCTTTGCATATGTTGCACTCAAAATTCTTTCCATCCAAGTGTGTTAATATGTGATCCTTTAAATATTCTTTCTGTTTAAATTTTGATTTACATGTGTCACATTCAAAAGGATACATATCTAAGTGTGTTGAAATATGCCTTCTCAAATTATATTTCTGTTTAAATGTTGCTTTGCATATTTTGCATTCAAAATTCTTCTCGTCCAAGTGTATTAATATGTGTCTCTTCAAATCGCCCTTTCTCTTAAAATTTCTATCGCAAATGTTGCATATAAAATTCTTCACATCCGAGTGTGTCAATATGTGTCTATTTAAATCGGGTCTTCGTTTAAATTTTGCTTTGCAACTATCACATTCAAAAGGATAAACATCCGAATGTGTTAGTTTGTGATTCTTCAAATTTCCTTTTTGTTTAAATTTTGCATCGCAAATGTCACATTTAAAAGGATAAATATCCAAGTGGCGTGTTGAAATGTGCCCCTTTAAAGTACCTTTTTGTTTAAATTTTGCATTGCATAATATGTTGCATTTAAAATTCTTCTCATCCAAGTGTGTTAATATGTGATCCTTCAGATAGTCTCCGTTTAAATTTTGATTTGCAAGTATCACATTCAAAAGGATACACACCCGAATGTATTAATTTGTGTTTCTTCAAACCGTCTTTTCGTTTAAATTTTGCTTTGCAAGTATCACATTCAAAAGCACAAACATTCGAATGTGTTAGATTGTGATTCGTCAAATGACCTTTTTGTTTGAATTTTGCATTGCAAATGTCACATTCAAAAGAAAAAATATCAGTGTGTATCACTAAATGACATTTTAAATTTGCTTTAGTTTTAAATAAAGCATTGCAAGTGTAACATTGGAATTTTCTAAAAACGTCTGGTTCTGATGAATTAGCATTTCTTGAATTTTTCTCTTCCTTTATGAATATTCCTCTATTGGGATCTATCAGTTCAATCTCTGATACTCCTATTTCATTTTTATTGTCATCTTCTGAATATTTATTATTCATATACCTAAAAAAAACTTAATTTAGTGAGATAATCAAATTTCAATAGATATAGGTGAGATAAAAATTCCAAAAATTAATACATAGGTATTATGCTAATTTATTAGTAAATACAATATTTTTTAATTTTAAAGGTAGTTCACGTCCACACACTTGTAAAGAAATGAAATTGCAGCTTTTTTGGACTTTTTTTATTCACGTATTAATCAATTGCCAACGTTTCGACACGGATGCGTGTCATCCTCAGGGCTAAAATGTATAACAAACCAGTTAACATAACTACATTTGCAACAAACTCATTACATTTACATAGAATTTTTTATTTGGCAAATGTACAACATAAACAGAAAAAACAGTACTGAAAACATGTAAATTATTATCAATTAATTGTGTTATAAAAATCAAAATAACAGATACACAGATAAAAAATAAATTATTGTTTTGTTATAGTATTTCTTTATTAGACCCAAACTGAGATGGTTTAGAATCAAAAATCAATACTGACAGACATTAACTCACCTAGATTAATAGTTGTGGTGCTTGTTTTTTGAAATTAAAAAACATAAAAATTCCAACGGACATATAAAAATTCAAACCAGCCGTGCAATGGTTACAAGCTACAAATTGATACTGATATTATTATATTAAACGAAATTCCCTGATATGGAATGTGTCAATGTCCTTGACCATTGGCTGCTGAAAAAGTACCTTTATTTACGACTAATGTATAATGTGCGTATTATATTTGTGATTTTGGCAGTATAATGACATATGTTATTCCTCCAGGGATTAATGACGAGTAGCGGGAATAATGGTCATTATTCCACAAAAGTGTCAGTGTCAAACGTGTAGTGCTTGTGGATTTGTATTGAAAATTATGAGACGGATGAAATTTGTTCATTGAAAATCTCAAATAAATTAATTTGTCGTAAATAAAGTAGAGTATACTACTCGCAATAATGGCTATTATTGCAGGGACAAGCAGAGGTCATTCAGGTCGAGGACTTTCCACGATTGAGTGTCCGGGAAAACTCCTCAGGCACATTTTGCCGATTTTTGAGTTGCCAGTTTTCGCTCATAGATCTAGGTTGTCTAATCCGTTATTTTAGGTCCCAATCGCCTTGTGCGGATTTTTTTTGTGAGTCAAAAAGAGCAACGTGCAATTGTTTGTTCCTAGAGGCCAAAGTATTTTGGTAAGTTGTTTTCTTATTCGTTTTCTCTGTGTTTCCCTATTGCCTACGTAAAAGCATAATTTTCTGTTAATTATATGGTTAAATTCCGAATATTGGATCTACCTACTTATTGCTCCACGCCCTGTCTCATAATGTCCATTTGTGGCCTTTAATCCTCACCTTTAGACGTTACGCTTTATCATCATCACCTTTTAGACGTCACGTTTTAGTCGTAACGCTTTAGTCCCTAACTTCCAGTAAAGAGTTATACGATAGGCTTATATATTTCAAGTCGTACCTCCTAGTTACCCATTCACTATCTCACTTCCTCAAAGTTCATTATTTACTTTTCAATCGTTTTGCGGGTAACAAATTGGCAGTGTCCGTGTTGCCACGTAATAATAATAATTTACATGTTTTTAGTACTGTTTTTTCTGTTTATGTTGTACATTTGCCAAATGAAAAATTTTATGTAAATGTAATGAATTTGTTGCAAATGTAGTTATGTTAACTGGTTTGTTATACATTTTAGCCCTGAGCATTACACGCATCCGTGTCGAAACGTTGGCAATTGATTAATACGTGAATAAAAAAAGTCCAAAAAAGCTGCAATTTCGTTTCTTTACAATATTTTTTATAATTTATACATGTTGCTCCACTCACTTAAATTTAATTTTTTTTAGATTACATTGAAAAGCATAAAGGGGCGTTGAGCTGATTAATTCATTACGAATGATTATTGGAAATTTGAAGCTTTCATAAATTATTCGTTTTTATTATTTATTTATTTATTTACATTATTTGCCATACAGTACAATGTACCAACTACAGGACTGGAAAAATAATCACTTAAAATTTAACATAAAATAATATAATGTATCAACAAATTATGCATATAAAAAAGACCTAAACCTAACTTATCCTACTTAGCCCAAACCTACATACATAAAACACCATCTCCGCAATATTTGCTTCACCCTATTTATTGACAAGTTAAAAAAATCACAATCTAGTTCTAGACAACATTTATTATATTTATTGCACATAGAGAAAACGGGAGAAAGTTTCATTATATTGGTACGCGGAGTTGACAAATAAAATACACAAGTTTGATGAGAAGTCAAACGAGGAACATTAAAATTGACCTTATAAAGCAAATCAGAACAATCAATATGATTATTTAGTATTTTATAAAGCATAACTGAAGTATGGTGGTCAAGATATAATTGAATCTGTTCAATAAGTTTGATACAATCAATCGGTCCTTAATTGGGCCGTTACCTAATTAAAAATTTATGTTCAATAAGTGCTTATGAGCCAATCCTTGAGGAGGATAAACACCATCACATTTAAAACCTAAATATTTAAAAAATTTCCTCTGTATTCTCTCAAGATTATCGAATCAAGAGGTTTCAGGATTACCGGATAATACTTTTACGCGTTGAGTGTCAGGTAAAAGTATTAGGTAATTTTGAAACATCGAGTGGTATTCAAGAGGTTATACAACGAACTAAACTTTAATACTTTATTCATTTTTATTATTATTATTAACAATATTGCCACCAAGCGCGATAATCCCAAAAGGCTTATCACTTGTTAAGCCTTTCGTGTCATATGGGAATAATATACAGTGAGTTGTATAATCAATACGATATCATAGGCAGGTGCTCATACAAGTGAAGCATATTCAAGCTTGGATCCAACATAGGAAATCAATAAAATTTTGGATGAATTATTCACCAGAAGCTTAAGTGGGCTCCATGCATTTACCGGCTCAGACTTCAAGCCTGCTTTTTTCAACAAAGGAAAGAAGAGACCTTTTGGTTTACTAAAAAATTCCATCGAATTTCAAAAAGATAAAAAATAAATAAACGTGGATGATGGGGGAAAAGTGCAAACCATTTTGCTTGATGTCAAACCCTTTGGTTTTTACAGCCTTTAAGGTGTAAAAATGCCAATATTCAACTATCAATATTTTAAAAATATAAACTCTTCTTAAAATTTTCTGAAAAATCAAAAAATGTTCCTAATAATACATATACAAAGTGTTTTATTTGAAATAACGAAGTTGACTCTGATTCTCAAAATTTGACACACCCTGTATATGACTTAATACTATTAAAATATGCAATATTTAACCCCAAAAAAATTTTGTCGGCGATTTTGTATATTCTTTTGAGATTAAAGACCAGAGTATCTACTAAATGGACTCAGGATTGAATTAAAATATGACGCTCGATTTGCAAATTTTAATTTTATTTCAGCAAAACCGATGGAGCCGGTGATGACATTCTCTTTCACGATGAGGAAACCGATTCTGAAAATGATGACATGGACATATGAAGAGAAAATATGAAGATATCATTTTTTCAGGTATAACTGAATAACTGAGTAAATTTGAGGCTTTCTTAAAATATGTGTCATCAGCTGTTTACTGGCTCTTAGACTTATTCAATTATTTATTATCACTTCCAGTTTGACCGGAAATAACCTTAACTTTCTTATTTTAAACAAGACGCCAGATATAAGCTATATATTTATGTTACATTACAACACTTGTTAATTAAACCATTGTGGATGCTAAATAAACATTGAAAATTGTTTCACGTTTCAATTTCACTTATTTAGCTGAATACGTCACTGAATGTTATTTTGAATTACCACTTATTAACTTTGGTGTTGTATTTTAAATTTTTCTCATCCGAATATGTCTTGATATGTGTTTCTTCAAATTGCTTTTTCGTTTAAATTTTGCTCTACAAGTGGCATATTCAAGAAGAAGTTTATCCGAGTGGATTAGTTAGTGACGCTTTAAATCGCCTTTTCGTTTGAATTTTGCTTTGCAAGTGTCACATTCAAAAGGAAAAATAACCGTGTGTATCAGTTGGTGATTCATCAAGTCGAGTTTTCGTTTAAATTTTGCTTTGCAAATGTTACATTCGAAAGAATAAATATCCGAATGTGTTCGTTGGTGACAGTTTAAATCTTTTTTTCGTTTAAATTTTGCTTTGCAAGTTTCACAATCATAGGCGCCGGAACTTCAAAATTACTATGGGGGCTCGGGCTCCAAAAATTAACATAAGTAGAATTAATTATACAGACAGGACTAGGCTACTAGATAAATAGGCTTGAATGGGACCAGCACCATTGGCGTAGACAGGATTTTGTATTGAAGGGAGGGGGCAAATTTGCAGGAAGTGATCGTTGCAGCTCCGCCGCAGGTGCGAAATTTTTGGGTCTTTTACGGTATTTTTGTGACTTCTAATGGTGAGGGTATGCGAGGATGCGGCCATTTCAACATAAATTTTGATAAGAATTTATAGTAGAACGTTACTTAAATTATAATACAGGGTGGAATTTTCAAATGGAATAAATTCAGTATTAGAAAGCCTGTTTATATTCTGGAAAAATAAAAAAAACGGGTCCGTTTATTTTTAGTTTGGCACATTTTTTTGGCCTTTTCATGGAATTTACCCCTCTCTTAGGGGTAGATACCACCCCCAATTTGAAAAAAATGTACAGATATGTATTGTGATAGCACGATGGAATGGGCATAAAAAAAGGAATATGACCCATTATTTAAATTTGCATTACGGTAATCTAGTTATGTAATTATTTTTGACATTAACACACTATTTTAGGGTTGAGAATCCGAGCATCAGGCATCAAATAGTGTGGTAACGTCCAGAAATAATTACATAACGTTACAAATGGGGCTCGTTTCGCTTTAGGGTTCTACCAAGAAGAAATGCTGAAGATATTCAACAATTTTAATTGTAAAAAAATGTTGGAAAATATGTTTTTAATTTTTTTCGTCCTTTCTAGATCCCCGAAATGCGAAAGTAAATATTGGGTCATTTTCCTGTTTTTATACCTATTCCAACGAGCTATCACAATACATATCTTTACATTTGAAAAAAAAAAGTTGGGGGTGGTTTCTACCCTTAAGAGAGGGGTAAAGTCCATGAAAAGGCCGAAAAAATGTGCCAAACTAAAAATAAAGAGAGCCGTTTTTTTTTTCCCAAAAAATAAACAGGCTTTCTGATACTCAATTTATTCCATTTAAAAATTCCACCCTGTATATGTATGTATTTGATTATCCACTTAGGACTTGAATTGATTTTTTTGTTTATTCCAATTTTGAATTATTAATAAAATTTAAAGGCCTTTAGAGGAAGGTGGGAAAATGCCCTTTTGTTTCCCTTCCTGCCAACGCCAGTGCGCAGCACCGATTTGATTCGCCTTAAACGGGTACAAGCTAATTCGTCTTATTACTCTCTACGTGTATAGTCGGTTGGTCCGATCTTTAAATAAATTTTCCATGATAAGCTAGGTAAAAAAAGCCAGTGATGTAATGTAAACATACCTATCATGAAAAAAAAACGGAAAGGAAATAATAATCCAACGATTTATTAAAGATGCAGGTTTAAATACTACACAACAAAATATTCAAACTGTTAAAGTAGGCATAACAAAAACATAAAACACACAAGTTTGATATAAAAATAAATAGTTAGGAACTTAATATTTTTGTACCCACCCACTACACCCATCACCAAAATCACTATGGGGGCTCCGCCCCCGTAGCAAATTTGCTATGGGGGCTCAAGCCGAGTGTATCCGAGTGTATTGATTGGTGACTCTTAAAAAGGGATTTTTTTTTAAATTTTGCTTTGCAAAATTCACATTCGAAAGGAAAAATATCCGAGTGTATCAGTTGGTGATTCTTCAAGTCGCCTCTTCGTTTAAATTTCTTTTTGCAAGTGGGACATTCAAAATGATGAATATTGAAGTGTATTAGTTGGTGACTTTTCAAGAGCCTTTTTTGTCTAAATTCTCTTTTGCAAGTGTCACATTTGAAATCATAATTTCCTGAGTGTGTTAGAATATGATTCTTTAGATGGCCTTTCAGTTTAAATTTTGCATTGCAAATGTCACATTCAAAAGGAAAAATATCCATGTGTATCACCAAATGAAGTTTTAAATTTGATTTAGTTTTAAATGAAGCATTGCAAGTGTAACATTGGAATTTTCTTAAAACATCTGGTCCTGATGAATTGGCATCTCTTGAACATTTCTCTTCCCTTATAAATATTCCTTTATTTGGATCAATCAATTCAATGTCTGATATCTCTAGTTCATTTTTAATGTCATCCTCTGGATATTCATCAAACATAAACCTAAAAAAAAAACATTATTTAGTAAAATTTTCAAATTATATTCAATATAGGTGGGATGAAAATTCCAAAAATTAATACATCTATTATGCTTAATCACTAGTAGATACAATATTTACTATAATTCATACAAGTATGTTGATTCACTTACTTAAATATAATGTAATAACCCGGAAAAATAGACCCGCAATTTACAAGGACTTGAAATACAAAAGCAGTAAATTGGAATGTAATCAAATAATGTAAATTGAATCAACTAATCTAATGTTAATTAAATCTCCAATATTGAAAGAATAGTTATAATTTTCCAATTTTGGCATTGATACCTAAAAATTATTTAAAATTTGAAATACCTAATAAATAAATGACGAGCCAGGGTTACGACAGCGCGAGGTTTTTGCACCTGCAGAAAAATTCATAAAAATATTAAAAGCAAGACTGAAGCAATTAAATTGGTGACTAAGTGACAGATTTCAGATTAAAAAAAATTATTTACAGCCGACACGAGTTCGGCATCCTTTTCACCTATCAGTTTATATACAATATATATTTTTTTTTATTATTATTTGCTATATAATGCTAACCTAAAACCCATCCAAAAAAATTTGATAAAGAGCAGTAAATTTCAAGCCTGGGTCACATTTACACTATCTTGAAGTAGAAGGAAAAAACGTATGGATTCTAAATATTTTTAAAATCTATTATGCTATAAACCTCATCTCGAGTTATCTGGGTCTCAAGAAATAATTTTAGCTTGTATTTAAAAGCTAGTGTGGACGGAGTATGAAGAAACGTTACGATTTTTGAATAAACTGTGAGAGCTATGAACTGAAAACATCTTTGACCTATGGTTTCTGAGACATTAGGTCTAGCAACAGGAATCTTATTTTGAAAAAGACCCAGTGCAATTTTTTGGAAGTAGAATTGTCTTGCATCGAATATACTGGATTTCCTAAACAGCAAATGAGTCGGATCCAGTCCATAATTTTTTAATATAATTTTAATTATTCATTTTTGCGTTATTTAAACCGACTCTACATACTTATTTGTGACAGCACCCCATGCTAAACTCCCATAATTTAGGTGGGACTGCGCAAGTACATAGTACAATATTTTAAGCTGTGCAAGATTAAAGATTTTAGTGAAGAAACGAAAGTTGTGCAACAATGATCTTAATTTGTTTGAAACATATTCGGTATGGTAGTCCCACGTTAAATGACTGTCAAGGAAGACTCCAAGGTATTTAAACTTATTGCAACTTTCTAGGATAACGTTCTCTGAATTTAGCTTTAGTTGGATTGAGTCATATGGCGGTAGTTTGCTGCTATAACATGTGAAAGGCATAAAGGTTTTTTTTTTTGAAATCAACTGTAAGCAAGTTTGTATTAAACCACTCAATGTATTTACCTAAGTTATTTTCTCTCTCTTTGAGTTGCTCCCAGGTATCTCCAGTATAATAAAACCCGGCATCATCAGCGAATGCCGCTACCTCGGCTCCCCCTTTGACTTTGAAAAGGTCGTTAACATATATAATAAATAAGAATGGGCAGAGCACGGTTCCCTGAGGAACGCCGCTCTTTGCTTTCTGCCATCCAAGTAACTTTTCATTAGGATCAAATCATTGCTCGTAAATCCAATGTTTTGAAGTTTCTTTAACATAATTGGATGGGAAATGGTGTCCAATGCTTTTGCAAGATCAACGAAGATGCAAATGGAGGAACGTCATTGTCTAGTGAAGTACCTATTTACTTTTGAAACTTAGTTCGCCACTGCATCCTCAGTTGATCTCGCTTTTCGAGATCCATATTGATATTCGGAGAGGACATTGTTTACATCCAAATGCGATAAAATTTGTTGTTTTAAAACTTTCTCAAATCTTTTTGATAAATTACAAATTAAGGATATAGGTAGGTAATTTGTCGGTGTTGATTTTTCGCCCGATTCGTACAATGGTTTCACAACAGCTTCTTCAAAAGCTGATGGGTATTCACCGTCAATAATCGATTTATTGATGATAAACGTTAGCGGCTCTTTTATATATATCGCGATTTCCCTTATAATTTCTGCAGTTAGTCCATCTGGTCCGGGAGCTTTTTTTAGTTTTAGTGTGTTTATGATATCAAATACCTCCAATGAACTGATTTTTTTTATTTTTATTGAATCGGC